TGCTTGGTTTTTACGAATGAAAAAACCCGGTGAAAGTAAAAAGCCCCTCTCTTGCAAATACAGCTATCCCAAGCACCATCTGAGCGTAAACAGCATGGAGATGGATGTCCTACCTGGGCACCAGTCCAGCAATGGCAACACGATCTATAGCTACGACGCGATAGAAAATCCGTGCTGCCCCCAGAAGAATGATCTGGGTAGCAAGAGCGGAAAGATTACTTGCCCCTTACCAGAAGATGTTGAGCTTGTTCAAAAGAAAGCTTTAATGGATACTATTCCGGTGATTCTGAAGATCCTGGAGGAAGTTCAGTTCATAGCAATGCGCTTCAGGAAACAAGATGAGGGTGAAGAGATCTGCAGTGAGTGGAAGTTTGCAGCTGCTGTCATAGACAGGTTATGCCTGGTTGCCTTTACCCTTTTTGCCATCATTTGCACATTTACAATACTCATGTCTGCTCCAAATTTTATAGAAGCTGTTTCAAAGGATTTTGCATAAGTATTTCAAAGACGAGCATGATAATTTAAAAGTGAAAAGTGAAAAGTGAAAAGCCAGTAATTTTCCTATATAAAATTAACTCAAATAGAGAAGTGTACTTACATGTGCTAACATACACAGAAGGGGATGAAAATAATTTCAGGAGGTAGTTATTCCTGATGTTAGTGACTGTAGTTACTGAATAGTAAACATATTGAGCTCTATTACTTATTTCATAGACTAGTTGCACGTGTAATTATGCCATGATCTGTGACAAATGATAGACAAGAGTTCAAATCTACAATATATTTATTATAAGTTAACACTACTATCAATGTGTTACTATGAATCTGTGAACTTTTAGATATTGTTAATAATTTAAATGATCATTGATGACTATAAGCTTTACAGTATCTCATTGTTTTTAGTGTATTTGTGTTTTATCATTTTTGTTTAGTGGCTGTGACATTCACTTCTCAAATTTGACAAACATATCTCCACAGTCTTATGATGCCATATATTGTATTTATGAAAATAAACTATCATCATGTTAGCTCTTACTAGTGCAGTGACTGGAATGTTTTCTCAGTAAATATGTTAACAGAATGTATTTTTCCCAGAATATTACTTCTTTTATTTTTTTTTAAATTAAGAAATGCTAGTTCATAGAATCATAGAATCATTAAGGTTGGAAAAGACCTCGAAGATCATTGAGTCCAACTGTCAACCCAACACCACCATGCACACTAAACCATGTCCCTAAGCGCCACATCTACACGTCTTTTAAATACTTCCAGTGGTGACTCAACCACTTCCCTGGGCAGCCTGTTCCAATGTT